CCCTCCCTCCCTCCTTCCCTCCCTGCCCCCCTCTCTCCCACTGCCCTCTCCCCGTGCCCACCTCTGGTCCGTCCGTGTCTGGCCTTTCCGCGTTCCAAGGCACTCGGTCGTGAAAGTGCGCTGTGGCCCGCATTCCCGGCAGGTCAATGTCCAGCAGGCCCTCGTCCTTTCCAACATGCAAGCGTCCTACCCCCTTGGCCTTCCACGTGAAGTTACTGGGAACGCCGTCAAAACCCTCGCTTCCCCGTTCAATCGTCACACTGTCGGGCGGGGGAAAGGCGTGCGCCGTCTGCATCTTCCCGGACCGGTCCGCGTAGACCAATCCTACGTAATGCTCCGTATAATTAGTGGCCCCGGGATGCTTGAACGATCCCACGATGGCGGCGAACGCCACCTGTTTCTCGTGGTCGGTGACCCGGATGTACCAACCATTGAAAAAACAAAGGCTCAACATAAGTGGGAGGGGGTGGGGGTCGAAGGGGGAGGCCTGGGAGGAGTGGAGGAAGAGGAAGAGGGGCAGGAGCACTCCCGGCCCTATCGTCTTGATGGGCCGTGCATTCCGACAGTCGCGTCCTTTAGCAGGCGCGCCGCCTCTTGAAAAGGTGGAGGAAGGTGAAAAAGGCTGCCGTTTTATCCAATCTTGTCGGGAAGAAGAGGTAGACGGGTGGGTGGGAGACGGAAAAGCGAAGGCGGAGGAATGACAGTGCAAGGAGCTTTCTGCTTTTGGGACCAGCACGGACGAGTAGCTTGATGAAGGAAGGTCCGAAAATGAAGAGTGGCCTTTGGAGCGGTCAACTGCTATCGCGCATGTGGAGAAGAAAAGCGCGGAGACCGCGGCTAGGAGGAGTTGACGGGGTGGAAGGAGGCGGTGGCGGGCTCGAACATCAAAGAGGTGACTCTGGCGGGTCATGACACGTAAGCCGATGTGTGATTATAGGATGGGCTGAAGGGCCGACGACTCAGGAGCTTACCATGGCAAATGTACTAGATGGTCAAGTACCTGTGCGCTGTGCGAAAGGTCTGGAAAATTGAATCATCTCAGTGAATTTACCCATGTGCAGGGCAACTTCAAAGCCTGCTCACTTTCCTTTTTCTCCCCCCCGGTCCAAATAAGGCACGTGTTGAAAAGAGATGAGAACAGCGTAAGTTTCACGCAAACATAATGACATGCCGCATCTAATACATCTGTATGTGAATGTGCCAACTGGTCAGGTGGGCCCTGCACTTCATAAGTGCTGGGGCTCGCCTGACATGAGGCAGGGGAAGGGAACGGTTCCAGAGACAATCCCTACGCCCATTGCAGTATTAGAAATTGCTGGATGATCTGAACAATTGATATCCGTTTTGAAGGATATTGACGCTTGTATTTCGGGGGGCTTTAAACCATGTGGGGATTTACTCAATACACAACGTCCTCCGGCAAGGCAGCCAGGAGGTTTTTGGCGAGACACCAGAAAATTTGCGACTCAACAAGGGACTGTTAATAACTCCATACACAGGACAATTAAACTGTTCAATGCTGAGAGATGGCTGACCATACTGGCGTGGAGATAAACAACGCAGGAAGTCAGGTGGGACTAGAGAGAGGGAACGACATCAATTTCCAACCTCCCTCCACCCTCCGGGGTTCTTAAAAACCACTCACACACCACCGCCTGCCATCCTAGCCCATCATTGACGCCCATGCTCATGTGCGAGTAGGGGTTGGCGTTGTAGTCCAGTCTACAGGTCACCAAGGCCTTGTTCTGGTTGGACGCCGGAAGGGATCACATGGCAGCGGCTCCCTTGCTCTTCCAGGAGGGCATCTGGAATCAGGGGAAACCATTGCAAATTGCGCCGTGAGAGAAATAAAGGAAGAGTGCAACCTCGATTTGGATGCAACAAGCGTGCGTTTGGTGGGCGTAACCCAAGATGTCTTCCCAGAGCCCGCCAGAAAGCACTACGTTACGCTTATAGTAATTGCGGCCGTCCTCCCTCGCTCTCCGCCACTCCAAAATATGGAACCAGAAAAATGCGTGGCGTGGGAATGGCTATCCCTCGAAGGTTTGAAAGAGAGGAAAACAGAATGCTTCCTTCCTTTACAGCACGCGCTGGACACGTTCTTACTGCGGCCTGGCCTCTTGGAGGATGGCTTGGAGAACGGGCTCCGACTGAATGACTGTTTGCAAAGATAGAGCTAGCGCAATAATATCACCTCGCTTAAAGTGTTTAGCATTCTGATTAAATTATCAAGCATCCTTTCCTTTTATTTGCGGCGTCGTACACCTCAAAACTTGCCCATCGACCTACGTTCAATCCTTTCTCCCTCGTTCCCCCGCCATATCGCTGTACACCAACTCTCTACATCCTCCTCATCACCAAAAAGGACAATACCCTATAAAACACTGACACAAATTTTCCTTGGACGTGGCCTGCTCTACCAAGCGTTCCACCTGTTCAGCCACGTCCATGGCTGTCTCATTGTCGAAATCAAGGCCTGTCAACTTATCCTGCACTCGCCGGATCACGGCCAAAGCCTTCTCGTTCAAGACCTCTGCCGGTGCCTCCATCCCCTCCGGGCCTACCGCCTGCACCAATTCCTTCTCACGGGCACTCCGATGATCGAGGCGTGACTGGGCGAGGGAATGGGCCGGGACACCCACGCTGCTGCTGAAACGAGTCTTGTTCGCACTCAAACTTGCGGCCAAGGAGCCGATCTCCAAATGCAAATCCGTCATTCGAGAGCGTTGCTCCGACGGGGTCGGCGCCCTCCCTCCCCTCACTCCTC